CTTGCTCAGCATTCTCAAGCTGATGCATATTTGGTTCTACTTTTGGATGTGAAAGTAAAATTTTATCAGCTTTCCTAATCCAGGAATATCATCCTATCTTTTCCATGGTATGAGATATGTAGTGCTGCCCAAACCTGTTAGGAGGTCATTTGTGAGAAGACGGGCGTGCACACGGAATACATGGATTAACATGAATGAAAGTGGTCTAAGGAGATTGCAAAGAAAAGTGTCTGGACTTCTTTAAGTTGCTTGAAGACGTTTCACCTCTCATCTGAGAAGCTTTTTCTGTTTTAAGGTCAAATGGCAGAGAGTCCCAGATTTAAACCCCGTGGGAGTAACCCCCCAAAGAGGGACAAAAGGACCCACTGATGATCCTCTACCTAATCACATGAGCCAAAGTGTGAAAACAGGTGTGGGTCACAGGATGTGAGTGGGCGTTAAGGCGTCTGGGGAGGGAACTCAAAACTGGATTATAGATGGCAGACAGTTGGTGTCGTAAACCACCGCCTCTGTTCAAAGATGGTCACTCACAGTGGACATAAATGGCTTCTTTCACTCCTCTTTCAAACCATCTGTCCTCTCTGTCCAAAATGTGAACATTGGCATCCTCGAAAGAGTGACCTTTGTCCTTTAGATGCAGATGGACTGCTGAGTCTTGTCCCGTGGAGGTGGCTCTTCTATGTTGTGCCATGCGCTTGTGAAGTGGCTGTTTGGTCTCTCCAATGTAGAGGTCTGAGCATTCCTCGCTGCACTGTACAGCATACACCACATTGTTAAGTCTGTGTATTGGAGTGGTTCACCTGACTTCTTTATGAACGACTTAAAGAAGTCCAGATGCTTTTAAATCCAAGCTCCTTAGACTTAGACTTGACCTGGATGACTGAGAACCTTCACAGACATGAAGGAAAGTGATCGTGCCTCAGAGATAAACAGCATGTGTTTGCATGCTAATTTATCAGCTAACACTGGAAAACTTAGTTAGCAAGCTGCATCCGCGCTAATTACAGTTAAAAAAATTACTCACCAAACCCAAGGCACAAACCACTTGTAGCACACAGTGTACTATGTTATTTACAATAATACTGCCACATAAATCCCAACACCACAAACGGTGAACCTGCCCGCTTGATGACAAGAAATGACATGAACCAAGGTCGGGAAATACAGGTTGATATAATTCCTAACATTCGTCTCCACAAACTTATTAGAAAGGACCTGTATTCACAACCGCAAGTTTCAAACGCTTTTCACACCTGACGTTAACTTTATTAATTTCAGTGGGAAAGGCATTGCTTGGAGAATGCATAGGTTTGTTTTCGCAGATTGAGCTAACCAGAGACCGAATCCCAGTGCCTCGTTAGTTGTTCCTGCCGTACACATGACGAACCACATGTGATCACATTGGAGCAGTGCTTGCAGGTTAATGCTATGCTTTGGTGTAAGTAGAATTTACATGCTTGGTAATGGGATTTATCTGCTGCTTTATGCAAAGCTTTTTCTGTTGTGGACTTCGGAGGTTGATTCTGATAACTGCTGAAGCCTGACCTGCACAGAAACGGAGCTTGGAGCTAGTTCTCTCCTCAGCTGAATGAATTTGTGTTCTTTTCAATTCTTCAAAGCTGCATACGTCTGTACGTCTGTGGGCCGCCTATACCTCCAACTGACTCCTGCTCTTTGGCCCAGGTTTATGTAACTCCACAGAGACAGAGGATAGGTGGGGCAGGCTGTGTTTCACTGATATGACTGCTGAACACTGAATCAGGCTGTTATTGTAACTACTTTATTATTTTCCCTCCGGTGTGTGACCTTGCTGCTTCCTTCTTCCCTCGTTCCCTGAAACACCCATCTCACACTCAGTCACACTCTTGTGTTCTACAACTTTGCTGCCTTTGCAAACATTAAAGAAACATTATTCTGTCCCTTAAACATGGGTCTCTTCTACTTTAATGTTCCTCACAGCTTCATTCAAACAGTCCTGTTCCTCTCCCTGTGAAAATGATCCAGAGTACTTGCAGACATTTGTGATTGTAAATGTGCGTAACTCTGTCACATTGGCTGTCTAATCAATCAGCTTGGGATGAGCTTGAGGGACCTTAAAGAATCAGGCTCACAGAGTTTATGCTCTTGCTTCACCTGAGCAGTGTCCATACTACCAAAATATACAATCTCAGCCAGCTTTTCTATCAAACTGTTGTTATCATCATCAATAATATAATCTGAATCTATTTTTGGTCAATTTTTTAGGCCCTATATACCTCGAACACCTTGAAATGTCAATATTGACATAGATTAGCAGTTAAGACTGAAGAAGTAGGGTAGGTTGTCGGTAAATTTCAAGGTCAGTATTTTAATACCTGCGTCCCATCTTTCAGCTGCACATAAACTGCATGTATAAAACAGAACAATGTGTGTGTGACTTAAAGAATAAAGTGTTTTGTCAGTGTTTTGATTGGTCAGTAAGTCCAGAATGCACTAACTAAATGTTTGGGTTTTGTTTGACAGCTATGTTCTGGCGGACGCATTATGGTTGTCATGGTTACAGGGTGACGCTCTCTCTGTGATTGTGTGTTTCCTGGGTGAGAGAGCGTGTCACTACCCGATCCGAACCAGATACCCGATCGGTACCACACATGTGCGAACGGTGTCTACTTCCGGTCAAAGCCTTTTACGATAGTTATGGGTCAGAGTATCTGTTAAGATGTTAAGAATAATAAGTATCTCTTAAAATGTTTGCAATAATGAAGCATTTCAATATAATGTAGACAAAAATGAAAAATAAAAAGATAGTTACGGATCAGGATTCCCCGATCCTTACTGCGCATGTGCAAAGTCGGACCGTACAAATCGGGTCTACCCGATCCGTACTGCGCATGTGCAGATTTTTTCTTCTTCTTCTGTTTGATTTAATAGCAGTTTACTCCCCAGTGTACGAAGATACCGCCACCTGCTGACCGAGCAAATGAACCGTATTGTAAACTTAAGTAGCGTCATTACAAATGCATGTTTAATTTGATTTAGTGATAGTCAAGTGTGTTTATGCTTGTCTGTGTGGAGAGAATTGTTGGAATAGTGATAATGATGTCCACTATCACTGTCAATTGTCAGTAAACACTTATTCTGGCTGATGAATCTTCACATGACACATTACTAAGTCTGTAATTCGGCGCCGCCTCCTACCACTGTGCAAAAATGAAAAATGAAGCCAAAATATCCCGCTTGTGGAGGCTGCTATCTTGCAAATTTGGAGCCCGAGTCTGCGCAGTAGTGACTTGAGGTGGAGCGACTTTATAACGCTCCCGCCCACACCCCCGCTGGACATGACCGCAAACACGCCCCTCTACACTTTTTACGTGGCCTGGCGGCTGGAGTTTTTTGCTGGTTTACCGAGACTGATGACTCGTTCAATCAAGGTAAATACAACAATGTGACTGTTATTAGAAAAAAAAAAAAGACAAACAGCTTATCATCTTATAGTTCTACAACATCTGAAATCACTCTGTTGTTAATTCGTTTGCTAGATTAGCCACAAGCATATGCACTGTGTTGGAGGCTTGTTGCTAGCTAGTTAGCGATGCTACACACCTGTTACTCTAATAGTCTGTATTATTGAAGGATTCAGCACATCTTAGTTTGATTTTTATCCATTTTTAGACAGCGATGAGGTCATCTGCACACTCCACAGAGGCCCAGAGTTACTGTTAATATTAAAAATGTAATTCTGTCCTTTGAGATTTTAACATTTAAGACTGTGAGTGTAATGGATCTAAAACTGTTTAAATCTCTACAGCCTGGTAACATGGAAACTTTAAAAACATCAGCAGAACGTTTCAGTAGTGTAGTCTAATTTGTTCTTTTCGTTTAATAATAGAGTCCACATTATATCAACAGCTACATTCACCCTGAAGAGAAACTGGTGAGGGAGACCATCAGGACCAAGCTGGGTTTCCTGGGTCCAGAGGTTTGGAGAAACTTCTTGCCTTTCTTTCATCACAGCTGTCCTGTACCAGAAGTTCTGTTGACCCACTCAGAGAGGCTTCATTTAAGAAACACCAGGAACACTGAAGCTCATCGCATTGATCAAGCAGGACTCATCATCTTCACCAGCAGCTCCCTCACAGGGAAATCTTTGCACTCCTCCGTAGGCCCGCCCCAGGAGATGGATAAACCCAGCATTTCATGAATACTGTGATGGAGACCTTTGGTTTGTGTAATGTTATAAATACTCGGATACTCCCCAGAGGCTCCAGGCTTTTACATAAAGATATTATATTCAGTCCTGTAGAAAGTTACATATTTAAAAATATATGTACCGGAAACCCGATCGGTACCCCGCATGCGCAAATCTTACGTCATTTCCTCTCTTTGCCAACATTACGACAGTTAATGTATTTGAATGACACGGTTAGCACCCAGTTAGCTCCTAGCATTTCTCAACAGCTCTGCCTCATTTTCGACAGTGGATAATCCATTTACAAACAAATTTATGCTTTTCTCCTCAGCAGAGAGCGTCCCCCGATTGAACAGCGTTAAATAAGAAGAATGGTGCCGAATTACAGACTTAATAATACTGACTTAGTAATGTGTCACGTAAAGATTCATCAGCCAGATTAAGTGTTTACTGACAACTGACAGTGATAGCGGACATCATCATCACTATTCCAACAATCCTCTTCACACAGACAAGCATAAACACACTCGACTATCTGTGACAAAGTGGCTAGGACAGAATTCATTTGCCATTTGTCACTTGCGTATATTGTTATTCTGTGTTCTGTTATTTTACAGTCAGCCATAATGCTTTAATTTAGACAGTGCTGGTGTAACTTCTCTAACACACAATATCCCGGGTTTTGTTTGTGGTAGCAGTAGTTACATTCTTTACATCCATGCATGTGTTTTAAAGCAAACACTACTAACCATCAGATCATCTGAATTTTCTTCTGTTTACAGGCACATGTCTAGTAAATTATGTTTCTTTATGTTGCTTTGGTTATACTTACCATGGTGTCCATGTTGTGCATTCAGGTCCTGTATGTGAGACGGGTGTATGGGAAGGGCCGCCCACTACTTCCTGTTTATATAGGGTCATGAGGTCAATGATTGGATCACTGGGTGTAACCAAATGGAGGGTTTTCATTTTGTATAGTATTGTTTGTTTTCTTTAAAGTAGCCTTTTGAGTTATATTGTATGCAGTGTTTTACTTTACAAACCATTTAGTTGAGTAAATGAGTTTGTCAGTTTCATGCATGACTTTATTCCTGTTCTTTGTTTAGAATTGTATTATTTGGTTTGACCTATTTTGTTCAATGGTAGGGGCTAACGAGGTCAGGTGTGGGCAAAGTCTTGTATAAAGCCAGTGGGATTTTTGCATGCCTGATTGATTGTTTTATGGTAAAAGGGAGATGCTAGCAATAAAGTATGCTTAAAAAGAACTTCAATTGTCTGCTAATGCTATTTACTTATCACCTTCCTTGCTGCTTAAGTTATGCTACATCACAAATGGTGGCAGCAGTGGCTCCAGGCCAATAGGTTATAGCAATGCAGAAATCAGCCAAGTCAAGGAAACCTCAAGGGCCAACAGATTTTCCCCCAGAGGAGGCCCAAGATGATGGCAACCTGCCAGAAGCTACGGGTGAGCACAGCACGGAAGCACAAAGTCTCTCAGAGCTCTCAACTTTATTAAAAGGCCTGATGCAACAGCAGGCTGACCGTGAGGCAAAATGGGAGCAGGACAGACAACGCCAGGATGAACGGTGGCATAGAATGCAACACCAGTTCAGCCAACTGCAGCAGGAGGTCCAGTCGGAGCGCTGGGAGCATCAGATGCTGTGGGAAGGTGCAGTAGCTGATTCCGGAGTGCCTCTGAGTTCCTCAGTGCGGCAAAAGGTGCAGCAACCTGTTCAACAGCGAGGAAACCCCCCTGAATCTTCCGCAGCACCACATTCATCCAATCTGGGCAGAGTAAGCGGTTGGAAAGGCCCGAAGATGCAGCCCTATGGTGAGGATGAAGATATTGAACATTATTTAACCACTTTTGAGAGGATTGCAACAGGATGTCAGTGGCCACAAGAAGAATGGGCACTGCATCTGGCTCCACTTATTAGTGGTAAAGCACGTGCGGCATATGTTGCTATGGACACTGAAGAAACAATGGACTATGATAAGGTAAAAACCGCCGTTCTTGAAAAATTTGAAATAAGTGCTGAGACTTACCGAACCAGATTTCGCAACATGACGGTGAAGGACGATGAGACACCCAAAGAGCTGCGAACCCGCCTTAAAGACCTATATGAAAAGTGGATGCTTCCAAAGGAGAAGACAAAGGACCAAATAGGAGATGTCATAGTGATGGAACAGTTTCTCAGAGTTCTTAACCCAGAGCTGAGGACCTGGGTGAAAGAGCGCAACCCCACCACTTCAAAAGAAGCTGCAGAGATGGCAGAGGCTTTTCTTGCAGCCCGACGCCCACAAAAAGGGTACATGGTAGGAAAACCCAGTTCAGCCAATGTTTTTGTGGGTAGGTCAGGGGGTGGGAATGGGTACAAAGCTAAAAGCCCTAAACAAAGTTCCCCAATCACTAGCAGTAGCCGCGCTAGAGAAGTAAAGCAGAGAGGCCCGTTGGTGTGTCATGCCTGTGGTCAAGCAGGTCACTTTAAGGCAGATTGCCCAGGTCAGCAAGTCAGTAAGACTTACATGTGTCTTTCACCACAGTGTTTTGACTTGCTAGAGGAAGAAACAGAGTCTCTAGTACCCTCCAGTGATCAGGAGCACACCATCTGTGTTTTCATTGAGGGAAAACCGTGTGTTGCCCTCTTGGATTCAGGCAGTAACCGCACACTTGTCAGGCAAGATTGCCTCCCTAGCGACACCACATTTTGTGGTAAAGTTAAAGTCTGGTGTGTTCATGGTGATAATGTTGATTATCCTATTGCCAATGTTTGCCTTCAAGTTAATGAAAAGGAGTACGTACTTACAGTTGGAGTAATGGATAAACTTCCCTACCAGATTGTGTTGGGCCGGGACATGCCAATTCTTGGGGAGTTATTAGCAAAGACAGAGAAGGACAGAGAAGAGAAGAATCTGCATGTTGCATGTGAAGGTCTGCTAGTAGTCACTAGGTCTGGTAATAAAGCTTCTCAGTCAGAGCCAGGTTTGAGTGAGTTGCCCTATGCAGACAGTGAAATTCCAGATATTGACAGACCAAGTAGGCCGCATATAAAGAAAAGTAAAATGCAGAGAAGACAGGAAAAAGTGAGGGGAACAGAAATTGCTGAGTCACTTCCTGAACCAGAGATCGATGAGCTCCTGGTTGTCCCGAGCAATATTGTCCAACTCCAAAGGGAGGACCCCTCTTTAGCACCTCTGTTTGCTAAGAGCACCCAAGAATCAGCACAGATTACAGACAGAGTACGGGAAGTATTCATTGTTAAGAATGAACGACTATATCGTCGTAGCAAAGTTGGTGACCAGTTGGTTGTTCCCAAAAGCTTAAGACCTGTAGTCTTGCAGTTGGCTCATTCAGTTCCTTGGGCAGGCCACTTAGGACATCTTAAAACCTTTTCCAGAATGGTAACTCGTTTTTTTTGGCCACAGCAATTTTCAGACACTGCCCAGTTTTGCAAATCATGTCCACAGTGTCAGTTGACAGCCCCAAGTAGGAAAGGAGACAGAGCCCCACTCATTCCTATGCCTGTAATAGACGTCCCCTTTTCTCGTGTTGCCATGGATATTGTCGGCCCATTGGAGAGAAGTGGTTCAGGGCATAGGTACATTCTAGTGATTTGTGACTATGCAACAAGGTATCCTGAAGCTTTCCCATTGAGAAGGGTCAAAGCCCGCCAAATAGCTAATTGTCTGATACAGATGTTTTCAAGGGTGGGTATTCCCAAAGAAATCTTGACAGACCAAGGCTCAAACTTCACTTCCAACCTGTTGAAAGAAGTCTACAAACTTCTGGGAATTACCGGAATCAAAACGAGCCCTTATCATCCACAAACTGATGGACTTGTTGAGAGGTTTAATAAAACCCTGAAATCAATGCTGAGGAGGTTCGTAAGAGAATCGGGAAAAGACTGGGACCAATGGCTTCCATTTTTGCTTTTCGCCTATAGAGAGGTACCACAAGCATCAACTGGATTTTCTCCGTTTCAGCTCTTGTACGGCCATAATGTCAGAGGTCCACTGGATGTACTTCGGGAAGCTTGGGAGGAAGCTAGCCCTGAAAAACAGTGCTCTTCCCTCTCTTATGTGTTGAAAATGAGGGACAAGCTTGAACAGTTTCAGGAACTGGCTCATTGTCACCTAGTAAGTGCCCAGCGACGTCAAAAACAGAACTATGATAAGACAGCTCGCAGGAGGACCTTTAAAGAAGGACAAAAAGTGTTGCTCCTTTTGCCAACCACTGAAAGCAGTCTCTTAGCCAAATGGCAGGGGCCATTTGTGATAAACAGGAAAGCAGGTCCTGTCACTTATGAGCTCAACATGCCGAATCGTCGGAAAAAGCAACAGGTGTTTCATGTCAACATGTTGAGGGAGTGGATTGAGAAGCCAGAGCAATCACTTCAGTTGTGGGCTCGTGTTGTACTGCAGGAAGAAGAGCCTCAAGAGCAATTCTTTCCCACCAGTACTGAAGAAAAGCTATTTCCGGATTTGAGCCATCTATCACCAGAACAGCAGGAGGAGCTCGCGGCCATAATGCCACAGGAGCTTTTCAGCACAAAGCCAGGCTACACCCATCTTGTTCAGCATGACATACACCTGCGTTGTTCGAATCAACCACCCATCAGGGATACCACCTCCAGAGTTCCAGCAAAGCTAATGCCAGCATTGAAACAGGAGGTGGAAGAAATGCTTGCAACAGGGATTATAGAGCCATCTAGAGGTGAGTGGTGTAGCCCTGTGGTACTCGTCCCCAAGAAAAATGATGCAAGACAGAGATTTTGTGTTGACTTCTCAAAACTTAATGCTGTCTCTGCTTTTGATGCATATCCTATGCCAAGAGTGGATGAATTGATTGAGCGCTTGGGTAATGCCAAGTACCTCACAACACTCGACCTTTGTAAAGGTTATTGGCAAGTCCCCCTAACAGAGTCCTCAAGGGATTTAACTACATTCAGGGTTCCCAGCGGACTTTATCGTTTCACAACTATGCCTTTCGGACTACATGGAGCTCCAGCCACGTTCCAGAGGCTGGTGGACTTGGTTCTGAAAGGAGCTGATGGCTATGCAGCAGCGTATATTGACGACATTGTGGTGTTCAGCGAGACATGGGAGGACCATGTGAAACATCTGGCTGATGTCCTGCAACGCATCAGAACAGCTGGACTAGTCATCAACCCTGGGAAATGCCACATTGCACAGACCGAGGTGGAGTACCTGGGATACGTCATTGGGGGTGGGGTCATCCGCCCTCAGGTGAGTAAGGTCGAGAACCTTGCCTCTTGTCCTCCTCCGACTACAAAGAAAAAGTTGAGATCCTTCCTGGGTTTAGCTGGCTGGTATCGTCGTTTCATCCCTAATTTCTCTACCAGATCAGCTATTCTTAGTGATTTAACTCGTAAATCATGCCCCAACAAAATTAAATGGACTCCAGAGTGTGAGGCTGCATTCATGGATTTGAAAATCTGTTTGTGTAATGAGCCTGTGTTGCAGTGTCCAGACTTTACGTGCCCGTTTATTGTACAGACTGATGCTTCAGGAGTTGGGCTGGGAGCTGTGTTGCTGCAAGGTGATGGAGAGGACCAAAGACCTGTGCAGTACATAAGCCGTAAGCTCTTCCCCAGAGAAATGAAGTATTCCACAATTGAAAAAGAAGCTTTGGCAATAAAATGGGCTTTGGACACTCTGAGATACTATCTACTGGGAGGTGAATTTGTGCTTGAAACCGATCATCGAGCTTTACAGTGGATGAGCAGAATGAGAGACACCAACGCAAGGATCACGAGGTGGTATCTTTCATTGCAGCCATATTGTTTTAAGATTCGATATAGGGCAGGGAAAAAGAATGTTGTGGCAGACTTTCTTTCCCGTTCCTATGAAGAGTAACGGACTTAAGGGGGGGGGGAATGTGACAAAGTGGCTAGGACAGAATTCATTTGCCATTTGTCACTTGCGTATATTGTTATTCTGTGTTCTGTTATTTTACAGTCAGCCATAATGCTTTAATTTAGACAGTGCTGGTGTAACTTCTCTTAACACACAATATCCCGGGTTTTGTTTGTGGTAGCAGTAGTTACATTCTTTACATCCATGCATGTGTTTTAAAGCAAACACTACTAACCATCAGATCATCTGAATTTTCTTCTGTTTACAGGCACATGTCTAGTAAATTATGTTTCTTTATGTTGCTTTGGTTATACTTACCATGGTGTCCATGTTGTGCATTCAGGTCCTGTATGTGAGACGGGTGTATGGGAAGGGCCGCCCACTACTTCCTGTTTATATAGGGTCATGAGGTCAATGATTGGATCACTGGGTGTA